CGCCTTCTGCTCCGAGTACCAGTGCAGCACGGACGGCCGGGTCAGTGCTTCGCCCTCCACCCTCCCCATCCTTCATCCTTCCTTCTTGTCGCCCTCATTAAGCCTTGTCACCCCTTGCCTCCACGCGCACCCCTCTCTGCGTGTTCCTGAGTCTGCAAACCGCCCATAATCTCCCCTGCTCCCCGTCTGCCCACAACAGCAACAGTGCCCGTCCGGCACGGGGTGCATGTTCCTCGGACAGGCGTGCGACGGAGTGAGCGACTGCAGCGATGGCAGCGACGAGGACGAAGCTTTCTGCAAAGCCTTCAACTGCAGCGACGCTGGCAAGGTGAGTCAACTTGAAATTACTGCATCCATGCTGGCAATGTTTCAACCCGAGTCAACTGCTTTCATGCTGGGAGATTGTTTCGGTGCGAGTCAAGGCAAGTCAACTTTCGCGGCCCTCTCACGTCGCCCTCTCACCCGCTGCGTCCCCGCGTGGCGCCACCAGAGCACGTGTCCGAGCGGCGTGGGGTGCATCTTCCCCGACGCCATGTGCAACGGCCGCGCCGACTGCACTGACGGCAGCGACGAGGCCGCCGCCTCCTGCAACGACTCCTTCGACTGCTCCGCCACCGGCCGGGTGAGCTTCCAGCCGTGAGCCGCGCCACGCCACACACGCGCTACCCCGCTCCTGCTCCCCCTGCTCATCCACCCGCCCATGCTCCTCCTGCTCGCATGCCAGTGTGCCTGCACCCACACCATCCACCAGTCTGCTACCCGCTAATCCTGCGCACTTCACCTCCCGTCCCCTCGCGAACGTGTGACCCCCTCAGGTGGCGTGTCCTTTGAAGGGCGGGTGCGTGTGGGAGTACCAGCTGTGCGACGGCATGCCCGACTGCCGTGATGGCAGCGACGAGCTGCCGCAGTTCTGCTCCAAACTCAACTGCTCCAACTCCTACCGGGTACGCTCCTCTGCCTGCTGCCCCCTCGCTGCTCTCCTCGCTGCTCGCCTGGCTGCTCCCCTCGCTGGTCTGCTCGAGTTCAACGTTGCTGCAAGCACGCTGTGATGGGTGGAATGTTGGTGCACGTTCAACATTCAGCACTCGAGACTCACCCCCTATCCCCCCACCCCTCCCCAATTGCAGACCCAGTGTCCGGGTGGGCAGCAGTGCACGTACGATGGGCTGCTGTGCGACGGGCGGAAGGACTGCAGTGATGGCAGCGACGAGGGCGCGCTCTTCTGTAGCAGCTACAACTGCACGGACACTGGCAGGGTGAGTTGCGAATCCCATGTGGGGTGCTGCCTTGTGATCAAGCAAGTGAAAAATGTGAGTTATATGCTGCCCATTCACACGTCTCGCTCCCCGTCCATCACCCCTTCCCCCCGTCCCCTCCACGAGTGCAGGTGGTGTGTCCAACAGTGGACGGCTCAGCGCCCGCGTGTGTGGCGGCCTCTCTGCTGTGCGACGGCACGCCGCACTGTCCCGGCGGCAGCGACGAGGACCGTGCCTTCTGTGCGGACCACCAGTGCGCGCCTGGCCTCATCAAGTGCCCCGGCTCGCTGCTCTGCGTGCCCGGCACCCTCTGCAACGGCTTCCCCGACTGCCGCATGCCCACCGCCCTTGACACCGCTCCTGACTCCGACCCTGCCACCGGCTCTGATGCTCTTGCTCCACTGACGCCCGCTGTCATGCCTCGCACCACCGCTCCCACTGCTACTCCTGGTACTGATGGTACCACGGCTGGTGTGGGCGGAGTGATGCAAGGCGGTGCTGCTGGTAACGTGGTCATGATGCTGGAGGGCGTGGCTGCTGACGAGGAGGGAGTCAGCGCTGACGAGGATCCAGTCATGTGTGCGGCATATGAGTGCCCGGAGGGGTGGAGGAAGTGTGCGGACGGGCTGCAGTGCGTGTCAGAGGACGCGTGGTGCAGCGGCGTGAAGGAGTGCCACGACGGCAGCGACGAGGATGAAGAGACGTGCACGGGGTACGACTGCGCCGCCACAGGGCGCGTGCCGTGCCCGGGCGGCAAGTACTGCCTGTGGAACTACTGTGACGTGTGCAACGACGAGCGCCAGCCGCTGTGCCCTGATTCTTCCGACCAGGCGGAGTCAGCGTGCCAGCTGAAGCAGAAGTGCCCCGTGCGCTACTACAAGGACGCCCCGCTGCCCCGCCCCCTGCCGCTGCCCCAGCAGGACGGCGCTGTGCAGGTGGAGCCGGACAGCGACGGCGCGGATGGGAGCCATCCGAAGAAGTATGCCAAGGTGAAGACGGGCACAGGGAAGAGCGCTGCTGATGGCACTGCTGCTGCTAGTGAGAGTGCCAAGGGCGTTGAGGGTGAGAGAAGGCCGGGGCACCATGCGGCTGGAGTGGGGCACCATAAGAGCAAGGGGCAGCACAACAAAACGAAGTCCAGTGCTGAGGCTGGCAGCAGCAGTGACGAGGCCAAGGCTGGCAGTGGCAAGAAGGGTGCGATTGGTAAGGAAGAGGTGAAGGGAAAAGGCACGGGCGGGAGCAGCAGCAGTGGCAAGCCAGGAAAAGTGAGTGGTGGGAGTAGCAGTCCAACGAAGCCTGGCAAAGGTGCGGCTCCCACATCGGGAGCTTCAGGGGGGAGTAAGGGGAATGGCACCAAGACGGGCAAGGGGGGAGTAGAGAGCAATGGCCCGACGGGAGGGAAGGGAGGTAAGGGTGATAAGAATGCGGGAGGCAGTAGCAGGAACGGCACCACAAGCAGTGACAAGAGCAGCAGCAAAGGCATCAAGAGCAATAGCGATAGCAGCAAGAGCAGCAGTAGCGAGAGCAAGAAGGGTAAGTCAAGCAAAGGAGATCAAGTGAAGCCCGACAGCAGCAAGGCAAAGGGAAGCAGCGGCAGTGCCACTGTTGGCACGAGTGAGGCAAAGGCGAAAGGGAAGGCGGAGGGAGGCAAGGGGTCTTCTGCTGAGAAGGTGGCTTCGAGCGGAAGCATGCAGGCAGAGGGCAAAGGGAGCAAGGGGAGCAAGGGAAGCCAGAAGAGCAAGGGGAGCAAGGAAAACAAGGGGAGCACAGGCAGTGCGGCCAAAGGCAAGGAGGGTGACGGCACTGGTGTGACCAAGGGAAAGGGCTGAGGGCCACGAGGCTCTGTGGGTAGAAGTAGAGCAGTAGTAGGCTTAGGAAAGAACAGATTTCTGCTTGTAGGGGGCAGTGTCTTGCTGCGCCTATTATCCCTATGTAGTGCAGTTTCTGGATCTTGTGCGATCTTGGTTTGCTTCGAAAAGCAGCTTATTATAGCTATTGCACGTTGTTGAATTATATTTGCATATCCTGTTATAACTGCCTACAGCTTGCTAGTGTATTAGTTAGATATTAGGTTCAATTGCTGGTGGTGTACCCTTTTCCCCTTCCTCTCCTTCCTAAACTTCATAATGAAAGCCTCTCTTTTGGCCAAACTTCTCCCTCCATGATTCTCCTTGCTAAACCTCTCCTAAACCTAAGTACTGCATAATCTCCTAATCTTAACATGATATCAGAGAGTGGTCCCTCCTAGGACCTCGTTTTTCATGGGCCCACCAAACCCGCGATCTGCCATGGCGACTTATTGTGCTGCTGGCATGGCTGCTACTGCTAGTAGCGCGAAATCCGCTGCTGGCTCGAAATCCGCTGCTTTTGCAGCACCCGTCGCGCTGCCCCCTTTCGCCTGCCCCGTCGCGCTCTGCCAGTGGCGAGCGTGCCAGCGAGGCGACGGCGGGCGCCAGCGCAAGCGCCAACGGCGGGCGCCAGCGCCAGCGCCAACGGCGGGCGCCAGCGCCAGCGCCAACGGCGGGCGCCAGCGCCAGCGCCAACGGCGGGCGCCAGCGCCAGCGCCAACGGCAGTCGCCAGCGCCAGCGCGGACGCCAGCGCCGACGGCGGGCGCCAGCGCCAGCGCCAAGGGCGGGCGCCAGCGCCAGCGCGACGCCAGCGCCCAGCGCCAGCACTTCCGCCAGCGCCAGCGCATGGGGGGGAGGGGGATGAGGGGGTGGCGGGAGAGCTTCTGCCGCGCCAGCCACCTCCTCTCCTCTCCTCTCCTCTCCTCTCCTCTCCTCTCCTCTCCTCTCCTCCTCCTCTTCTCCTCTCCTCTCCTCTCCTCTCCTCTCCTCTTCTCCTCCAGCCGCATCTCCTCCTCCTCTCTCCTCTCCTCTCCTCCAGCCGCATCTCCTCCTCCACTCTCCTCTCCTACAGCCGCATCTCCTCCTCCTCTCTCCTCTCCTCCAGCCGCCTCTCCTCTGCTCTCCTCCTGTGCACCACCACCAGCTTCCTCCTCCTCACCAACAGTTGTGTTTGCTCGTAGATGGCGAGCGACCGGCATCCTTCGCCCTCCGGCTATCCCAGCCCTCCTCCGCGCTCTCCGCGCCCTCCTCCGTCCTGGCATTCACAGGTGCTGCCGGTCAGCCACCGCTGTTTCTGTGCCTATCCCAGCTACAGCAACCGCTCTCCAGGCGACCTGGTGCCAGACACCACTAGCTATAGCCGTAGGCAGTTACGGGGGTGTGTTGAATTATAGTTGCATATCCTGTTCTAACTGCCTACAGCTTGCTAGTGTATTAGTTAGATATTAGGTTCAACTGCTGGTGGTGTACCCTTTTCCCCTTCCTCTCCTTCCTATTTGTACTCCCAACTTCATAATGAAAGCCTCTCTTTTGGCCAAACTTCTCCCTCCATGATTCTCCTTGCTAAACCTCTCCTAAACCTAAGTACTGCATAATCTCCTAATCTGAACACACGCGTACATAACACTTAACAAAACCACAGCAAACCAGCGGATAAATAGCACAACTAAGGAGGCAGAGGAGCCCCAGTGGGCCCTGTTGAGCATTTACAAGCTCTGCTACCCTTGGAAGGTGACAAACACCAGGTGCAGCAACAGTTACACTAACAATCCCATCCTGGTGCGGCCCTAACAACAAGCAACCCCCCACCCCAACCTCAATTGTACTGACACATTCCATTACAGAAAGCAGGAAACTGTCTACACTATGGCATGTCCAGCAACGAGTTCACAGCTTTCACACGTTGTAAGGAGGCACGTTGGCCTTGCCTGCCTGCAGCACAGTAGCGTCAGCAATGGCCTTGAGCATGCCGCGCTTGTAGGTGCGGATGGTGTAGTACCAGAACATGGCGATGTAGATGAAGGCCGCGAGATACGCCATAGCACATGCGCCACGCACCTTGCTCAGATCCGCATTCGCATCATCCACGATCTGCTTGAGATAAGTTCCGTAATTCAGTTGTGCAGGAACCACGGTGCTGACGCTAATTGCGCCGAGCATGGCCTTGATTGCTTCCTCGTTGTAATTGCTAGACGCCGCACTGTCAAATAAGGCAATTGGGAAAGTAGAGATGGAAACGTGAAACACAGAAATCCACTATGGCGTGAAATCATGCATGTTACTCATACGTTGCCCGCTTATGCAGCGCAGAGATGATACACGGGCATACCGTACTAGACAGTCATAGCATGCGTCTTGCGTACATACTTGTTTAAGGCGCTGACGTTCCACCACGTGTTGCACGCAGCTGCTGCGGACGTGACAGCGGCGAACAGAAGGAGTGACATAATCTGTCAACCAGGGGGGAAGTAATACAACCTCTTTTAAACACGAAAAAGCACACTGGGAAACGTTCAAGAGAGAACAAGAATGACGCAAAAGATTTTTTTTTTTTTTTGGGGGGAGGGCAGGTACGCGACGAGTATGTGCGCGACGCTGTAGATTAAGATGACTGGAAACAGTGTAATATTCTTTGAAATATTGCATAACACTCAAAGCGTTCAATGCCTCAGCAGGCCTCTAGTAAGAACTGCACGGTGACTCACGTAGCTGGCGAGGGTGGAGGGACTCACGTAGGTCTCGAAGAACTGCACAAGGTCCATGACGGCATCGTACGCCGCGGAGCCCGCGACGCACATGCGCACGGCGTTGTAGATGAAGAGCATGAGCGCCAAGATGAACCCCAAAATGGTGACGCCCACCAGAAACGCCCCCGCCGCGTACCCCGTCATCGCCTGCTTGGTGGCGAAGCACAGACTGCGGATGTAACAAGGAAACAGGAACTAAGAATACGGTGAGAGAACGAAAAGGAAGATATTATAGTATCTTGTCTGCGGAGGTGTCGCGAACACGTGCCAAGCAGCCGCAGACACAAAAGCGCGATGCATCACCAGGGGACCCAGTCCAAAGACTGGTCGGCGAAGCCCCTGGCCGAGAGACACGTGGCCAGAGGTTCAACTGGTGAGCGGTGTACCAAACCACATAGGGCCACAGAAAATCGGGCGCACTGGCGTGAATCATGGAGGTGCGTGCGATATAATCGTATGTGTTGTGAGAGAATGCATTTATGTGATCTGTGTGCAGTCAGCTCGAGCTTCTGAGAACGGGAAGAGAAATCGAGCTCAGGTGTGCTGACTTCGAGCGCAAGTGAGTTGACGATGAGCGACACGTATGAAGCTGCGAGCGCACCTGAAAGAGACAAGGCAGAAGAGGAAGATGCCGATGCGGAGGCCGAAAGGGAGCCACGTGTACAGCGCGGACCGCTTGTTATTGTCGCAGCAACATGCCTGATTGCTCGGCGCTGGGGCTGGCACTGGGGCGGCGTACTGGGGTGGTGGCGCGGCGAACTGGGGTGGTGGCGCGGCGTTGAAACTCATGCCCTGCATGTTCGGAGCCTGCTGCGCAGCCATTTCGAGCTTGCGAATATTCTTAGAAATTGCGGACGGACACTGATTTCGGCTTGTTTGTCAGTGCGATGTCACAACAACAACTTCTTTGGAAGAATGATATCGAAGTACCGTGCTCTAGTGGCGCGTTCCGCGAGAACAGCGACTCGGGAATAACAAATGAGCTCTTGCGAAGTTCTTCAAATGCAATGCTGGGAAACTTGGGTGCAGAGGCGGTAGAAAACGAGGGGAAAAAAGGGAGAGATTGGAAAGGTGCGAGGAAGGGAATGAGGCCCAGCGTATTTATCTTGAATTGTTGGTGCAGGGGAGTGGGTTTGGAGAAATGTGAGTGCACCGCGCGCTCCGCCAGGGGAGATGGCTGTTCGATGGTGAGCGCTGACATGGCGTACCAGCGCGGTGTGGGAGTGGCTGAGGTCCAGCTGGTCGGGAGTCTTGCACGCTTCTTGGCGGAGCTGGTCAAAGTCTACGGCGTCTCTCCATATGAGTATGGTTGGAAGATTCACGTTAGGTCAATTCTGCGTGAAGGCCATTGCCCTGCTGACGGGAATCCACATAAGGGCGGGTCACATTTTAACGTACCTGGTTCGTTTAATGGGTTTCAGTAGATTTAAACAAGATAGACAACGGTTAGAATCGGTGGGAACTCATAACCGTTTTCAACCCGATTGTAACATACTGGACCACACTAAACGAACCATATACAGATGATGCTCGTTTGAGTAGACAACTGTAGCCTTACTCATTGGGCGTTTAAGTGATTCTTGCATTTCGCAAAGGTTTCGTCAATTCGCACCTAGCAAAAAAGGGCTTATAAAAGAATTGTAACTTTTCGTTGACTGTTTGACTTCAGTCTCTTCAGTTTGACTTTGGTTTCTTGTGGTTACTATTGGTTCATAGTCACTGCAATTTGCTCGGGGTGCTTGTAACGTGGGTGTGTCAAACATTATATGTTTACATTGTGTAGGCTATAGTGGGTTTAGCCTTAGGGGGTACAACAAACTTAGGGTTTCCTACTTGTACCCAAATTTCTGCTAGTTCATCCATTCTCGTTCGTTCTTAGTTTCTAACATGGTATCGCGAGCCTAGGTCGTAACCTAGGACCGAATCGATAAGGGCCCACCGTTTTCGCCTAGTCGCGCCCTAGCGCGCCTCGCCTAGTTGCGCCCTCGAGCGCCCTCCTCTCTCTCTCTCACTGTCGCGCGCCCTAGCGCGCCTCTCGCGATCGGCCCCGCCTAGCCCGCACGCCCTAGCGTGCCCCGTGCGATCGGCCCCGCCCACCTCGTGCGCCCTTGCGTGCTTCTTACGGACCGGCCCCGCCCCTTAGCGCGCGCCCTTGCGTGCCCCGTGCGACCGGCCCACACTCACCCGCGCGCCCTTGCGTGCCCCTCGCGTACCGGCCCAGCCCTCGCTAGCCCGCCACCTCGTGCCCCGTGCGACCGGCCCACACCCACCCGTGCGCCCTTGCGTGCCCCTCGTGTCCCGGCCCCGCCCTCGCTAGCTCGCCACTTTGTGCCCCGTGCGGACCGGCCCCGCTCTGCCCTGCACGCCCTCGCGTGCCCCACCTCGAGTAGCCGCCGCCTAGCCGAGCCGAGTCGCCCCACCGAACCGCGCCACCCGGCCCGAGCCGCGCCGCCTTACCGAACCGCGCCGCCCTACCGAGCCGCGCCGCCCTACCGAGCCGCGCCACTGCTGCTTTCACTGCTACTGACACTACTGCTGTTCCTGCTGCTACTACTGCTACTGCTCTTACTGCAACTATGGCTTGCCCTGCTGTACTCGCTTTCGATGCTGAGGGCCGCCCGCTGAAGTTTGACACCTGGCTAGATGACTTGCACCTGTTCCTCCAGCTCACTGCCAAGGAGGATATCTCGCTGTACGATCACGCACTAGGACTCGCTCCTGCCCCTGCTACTACTGCTGACAGTACTGCCCGCTCACAGTGGCAGAATCGTGACGCCCACGCTCGCTTCGCTATTCGCAACTCCCTGCCGGTAGATGAGCGCGAGCACTTTGGCCAGCACAAAACTGCACAGGCACTGTACACTGCTGTAGTTGCACGCTACTCCTCACCTGCCTCTGCTGCACTAGGCCGTCTCTCGCTCCCCTACCTGTTCCCAGACCTGTCCGCTTTCGCCACAGTAGCTGACCTCATCACGCACCTCCGCACTAGTGAGGCTCGCTTCCGTGCCGCTATGCCCGCTGAGTTTCTTGCCACCCACCCTCCCCCGCTCTGGCTCACTCTCTACCACCTTGTCACCCGTCTCCCTGACTCTCTTCGTGCGGTCAGGGACCACTTCCTCGCTCGCTGCCCCACTGAGCTCACCGTTGACCTGCTCGAGAAGGAACTGCTTGCAGCCGAGACTAGCATAGTCGCTGTAGCTTCCTCTCGTGGCGACCCCCGCACCCCTTTCTTCGAGGGGTGTTCCCCTTCCCCCCTTCTCCCCTCTGTCGCCTCTGCTGCTGCTGTCGACCTAGTTGGTACTGAGCAGGTCGGGACTGCGTCCGCTCCGAGCTGGCGCCGCAGCGGCAAGGGCAAAGGGGGCAAGGGAGGTGGAGGTGACGGCGGGGGAGGTGGTGGTGGGGGCGGTGGAGGCAGTGGGGGTGGTGGCGGGGCTGGAGGAGCTAGTGGCAGCGGTGGGGGTGGAGCCGGCAGCAGCGGAGGAGGTGGCCGGGGTGGGGGCGGTGGTTGGGGCGGCGGTGGACGCGGAGGCGGCAGGGGCGGTGGTGGTCGAGGTGGTGGCGGCGGAGGTGGTGGTCGTGGAGGCACTGGCGGTGGCCAGAGCCAGCAGCACACTCCGTCGTCTCAGGAGCTTCGTGAGTGGTACTCTCAGCACGGGGGGGGGGTGGCCTTAGCTGCACGTACGTCATCCGCACTAGTGACCGTACTGGCCAGACGTGTGGGAGGGCGCACACCACGCAGCGCTGCTTCTCCCGCCTTGACGACGCTTGGCGCACTCAGTTCCCTGCTGCCACTGAGCTGCCCCGCTGGGCTGAGCTGATGAGGAAGAACATTGATATCTATGCTCTTGACTTTGATGCTATTCTCACTGCCATGTATGTGTTGTCTACTAGTGGAGAGGGTGATCAGTACCTGCGTGTTCCGCCCGACCCGGGCATTCGGACCAGTGAGGCTGCCGCTCTAGGTGCTCGCGTGTCTGCTGCCACAGGTGCTGGTGAGGCTGCTGCTCTAGGTACTTGCGTGTCTGCTGCCCCAGGTGCTGGTGAGGCTGCTGCTCTAGGTGCTAGTGAGTCTGCACCCCCTGGTACTGAGTCCACTGAGGCACTGCACACCTTCACTCTAGACTCAGGAGCTTCTCGCTGTTTCTTTCGTGACCGCACTGCCCTTGAGCAACTTGCTCGGCCAGTTGCTGTCTCCCTTGCTGACCCCTCTGGGGGTCCGGTCATTGCGACCTCCTCCACTGTCCTTCCTTGTCCTGCAGTTCCGTCGGGCACACTGTCAGGTCTCCACCTCCCCTCGTTCTCTACGAACTTGGTGGCGGGTTGTGCGCTCCAGGACGGGGGTGTCCACCAGTTCACTCCTGCCTACGAGCGCGTGACACACTGCACGTGTGCTCGGACGGGCCGTCACCTGGCTACCTTCACTCGGCAGCCGGGGTCGGACCTGTACACACTGACCACTAAGTCCCCTCAGGTAGCTGCGTCTGCGTCTGCGTCAGGTCAGCTGTCTGCCCCCTGCTCGTGTCGCTCTCTGGCGCACGAGACTGTTCTCTGGCTCCACCGCCTTGGTCACCCGTCAGTGCAGCGCCTTCGTGGCATGCACAAACGGTACCTTGTCTCTGGTCTTCCCAGGGTTCTCCCTCCCCTGCCACCCTCGCCTGCTCCTCCCTGTCTTCCCTGTGTCGAGGGGCGGCAGCGCGCCGCTCCTCACTCCTCCTCGTTTCCCCCGACGACTGCTCCCCTGCAGACGCTACACATGGACGTGTGGGGCCCAGCCCGCGTCCGTGGACAGGGTCACGAGAGGTACTTCTTGATAGTTGTTGACGACTACTCGCGCTACACCACGGTCTTCCCCTTGCGCACCAAGGGTGAAGTCCCTGATGTTTGGATCCCTTGGATCCGCACTGCCCGTCTCCAGCTCCACGAGAGGTTCCACTCGGACTTTCCTGTCCTGCGTCTGCACTCTGACAGAGGTGGGGATTTTTCCTCCGACCTCTTGAGGGCCTTCTGTCAGGGGGAGGGCATTGAGCAGTCGTTCACGCTTCCGGCCTCTCCACAGCAGAATGGGGTTGCTGAGCGCCGCATTGGTTTGGTCATGGAGGTCGCTCGTACCTCCTTGATCCATGCGGCTGCCCCCCACTTTCTGTGGCCGTTTGCGGTCCGGTACGCTGCGCATCAGCTCAACCTTTGGCCCCGTGTCTCCTTGCCGGAGACCTCGCCCACACTGCTGTGGACGGGGAAGGTTGGCGATGCGTCGCGTTTCCGGGTCTGGGGATCTCGAGCTTTTGTTCGCGATACGTCTGCGGACAAGCTCTCCTCCCGCGCTTTTCCTTGTGTCTTCCTTGGCTTTGTCCCGGACGCGTCTGGTTGGCAGTTTTTCCACGCCACCTCGCGCCGTGTCCTGCCCTCTCAGGACGTCACTTTTGACGAGTCGGTGCCCTACTACCGCCTCTTCCACTACCGCACTGCCCCGCTCCCCCCCCCGCCTCTCTTCCTCGCGCCAGGTGCTGCTGTGGTAGACCCCCTCCCCCCTCAGGGTGCCGCTCCCTCAGGTGTGTCCCAGGTAGACCCGGTTGAGCCTGTCGAGGTAGCTGTCGACTCTCGTCCTGCTCGGGGTGCTGAGTCTGAGCGTGCGGAGCCTGGGGGTGCGGAGCCTGGGGTTGCAGAGTCTGGGGGTGTGGAGCCTGCGGGTGCTGAGTCTGGGGGTGCAGAGCCTGGGGGTGCTTAGTCTGGGGGTGCTGAGTCTGGGGGTGCTGAGCCTGAGGGTGCTGCGACTGAGAGTGCTACACCTGGAGGCGCTCTTTCCTCACAGCAGCTGCGTGAGT